ACCCTTCTGATTTTCCTCTAGCTCCACTGTGCCAACAAGCTATTCCAGCACGGCATGAAACAAGATGTCACCGCCCCAGATTTTTTCACAAAGCAGAAATACCCTTTTCTGGTCAGTTTTAGTCACAAGCTGTCTATGTTGTACTGCTTTTTCTCATAAATAACTGTCTTAAGTGTCTGCTTCACTGCCCCTGCAGAAGCATGGATTTAAACACAAGGAGTATTGAGGAATCAGTCCCAAGCTGGTTATGTTAATCAAGTTTTTATGAATAACAAGCATGATAAAATTCTGAATCCCTGAGAAAAGGGTTCAGTATTTTAATACTGTTATAGTTAAATGCTGCTTTCTGTGAGCCTTTCAGAAGTAACTCTTCAGTCAGCTACTGCTCATAATACTAATTTCAAAATACTACAGACTGAAACCAGAGGGGTGTTGTACAAGGACTTTGTCATCATGCATATGGTTCTATTCAAGTATCTATTCCCTGGAGAAATCACAAGGCATCCAGATTTGTAGTTACCACTGTACTGACCCAATGAGACACCAGTACAGACTGTCCCCTGTTATTTGTAAAACAACCTCCTCCATCTTAAGAAACCCTGCCTTTCCATAGCTTTATAAATCCTAATGAGAAATATTTTAGAAATGTATTTGCAAACATCACTATTGCTCTAATTAGAGAGCACAGTACTAGGAGTCAAGTGCCAACAAATTTTGGGTCTCAATAAGATGATAGCAGAATTCAGTAGATAATTCAATCTCACAGGCCTCTAATTTATTTCATGTTGCTCAACCAGCAGCTGTAGCCCACTCCCACTAGATCTTGAAGATCAAACCTGATTCAACTGTCAGGTTGCTCAGGTGGTTTGGGCTCTTTTCTGGTTTTTTTGTGTAAAAAAGCTGCATTCTACTGTACTTCATTTACACAAAACTATTTATTCAGCAAATTTTGGCAAGTGAACTGAACCTGATGAATTCAGCTATTTTTCTGGAGATGGCAGCTTCTTTAAAGCACAAAAATATATCTGTTTTTAAGTAACTGCTTTTAATTTTTTAAACCAAATAATTTCTCCTCCTAATAGGCAGTAACAGCTTTTAATTGTGTTCTACTTCAACTCCCTTTACCTCATCCTCTTTTCAAAACAGCTCAGGACACTTCTGTTCCTCAGAGGTAAATTCCTGTATGCAGTGAATTCATGTGCTTTCATTTAAAAAAATCTCACATGAATTAATGGATAGATGAGGGACAGAGTGAGTTCACCAAACAAAAACAAGTGATCAATAATTAATCCTCATAAAATAATTTCTGAGGCACGATTCATGAGTCAGCATTTTCAATGAAAGCATTTGTAAAGCAGAAATGCTACTTTACTACAGTTTTGGTAACATTCTACATTATATCCTAAATATTAACTGCTTAAGACATCAGATTTCCAGCAATATTTCTTACATTAATTGCAGCCACTTTAGGTCTTTTTGTTTTAGAAAGCAGATGGAGGAATCTTCATATTAAAAGGACAGAAAATTCCTAACAAAACAATAAAATAAATGGTAACCAACTATCAGAACTGGATGCTATACTACAGAGCTTATAAGAGATTAAAAGAAGATTCATTACATCACTAACTGTGACATGCAGAGCAGCACTGAGATCAACAACAGCATTAATGAAGATGGAAGCAGTAAGAGTGGGATGAGTTTACAAAAACACTTCCAAGGAATGTGGGAAATTAAAACACAGAAGTCTGATCTCTGCACAGGTAAATTGTAGGATTATAGTAAAGCACAGAGATGCTAAACACAGACATGATGAAAAAGGATATTCTCTCTGACTTTCATGGAGGTGAACCTCCACAACCTGTTTCAACCTGTCTCTGAATACATTTTTAAGGAGCCAGTAAGAAGGTCAATAAAGGAGAAACTGTTAATGCATTTAAATTTCTACAAACCTTTCAATAACCTTTATCTAAGTTATCTTGGGATATGAGAGATGATTATCTGATGAAGTCTGAAGAGCTGAATAAAGGCTGCTTTTACAAGAGAAAGGCAAAATTATTAGAGGTTACCTTTGCTGGAAACTGTGAAATTCAATATATGCATAAATGACCTAGAAATAGCAGATTTTCTGTAAATACTAAGCATATTGACAGAGGAATTACAAAGGAGGACTACAATCAAAATCCATCTGATTATGACAGACATGGAAGAGCTAATAGTGAAGGATAATTCCTTTCTCTTACGACAGCAACTCAAAGGCCACAAACTTTGACCTTTTTGGTAAATATTTTTAAAAAAAGGGAAGTATCTTCCTCTTGCAACAGTGAAACTGTGTGATGTGGAGATAAAAATTATGATTTATATAGGTAAAAAAAATCCAAATAGAAGTTGATCCACATGTATTAGATATATATTGGTGTAAACACCAGGTATGTTTCTAACGGCCAGAGTTGCCAGAAACAAAGGGAGAAGTACTTTATCCCATCTGTTTCTTGCATCCTCTCAGTGGCCTGCTACTGCCACAGTTATTGTACATTAATTTCTGTTTCCAGATAGAATTTATTCCTGCACAAGAGCTGTGTGCTGTCTGAGGAGTGACCCCACCTTTGAACTCATGCTCTTGGAATAAATGAGCATACTTAGACCTTGACCCCTCAGGAAATTTTTTTATATTAAGACATTAGCACTGAAAAGAACTACCACAAGGAACTCAGTATTTTCCATGCTGGCTCACCAAAGTTTTCTATCCCATTCTGTTTAGAAACCCTGAATAAGCACCTGGAATTCCTTGGGCTTTGTGGAGATGACACAGAAGCTGAAGATCAGATCCTTGAAAGTTTGAATGGGATTCTCGTGGCTATTACTGAAGATAGTTAAGTATCACTCTGGATCACAAATTAACCATTTGCACAATTCAAAAGAATTCATGGCAGGTTTTGTTTATTGTGATAATCTCTATTTGAAGAATTGATTCCTGCTGGAACTAGAGCTGTCCTCAGGCTGTGTTGCTTTCTTTTCTCTCTGTATAAAACTCACAAAATGACTTGTGACCAGAAAAAGTTTCTGGTCACTAAAATACCAAAAGCTCCAGAGAAATTCCAGGTTTAATATTCTATTTATTACAAACTCTTAGGATTAATTTAGGGTGACTCTATCAGGTCTGGCATTTTAAAAGTAGTTTCTAGTCTATTTATACAAGAGTCCCTAAAGCCTTTGCACACTCTCCTAAAATGACATAAACCTGCATTTATTTGAGTCTCCTGGCAGATGGTGATTTACTATCTTCAGGCCAGCTGGCCATATTTTGGATGAAAAAAGGCTGAGGGAATTGTCTGTTCTAATTGCTAGTCTAATAAAAGATATTGTGCCTATCTACAGAATTAATTGCTAGGCCATGCCTCAGGAATAGCATCTTAATCCCTGACTTCCCATGCCTTACGCAGGCATCCTTTTATAGTCAGAGAAGATGAAACTGTTTTCTTCTCTGCCTGGCCACCCCCTGCTTCAATTCAGCATGAAGCAGAGTAATCAGCTGGAACCACACTTTGCTGCAATTCAAGCAGATGACTGTGCCCATACATTCAGACTCAGACAGCCTTTAAGGACCTTGTTAAATTGGAAGCTTGGATCCCACAGATAGCTACTCAGAACTCTAGGAAACAAAGGAACATGTGAATAAAACAGCTGCAAACCTACTGCAGGTACTGCTAACCCTCTTATCACTGCAGAGCAGAGGTCCTTCCACCTACTCAGAGGGAGTGGGATCTTCCCAACTTTGGCAAAAATCCTGAAGGGCAATCCACGATGTGCAGTGAAAGCAGCCCACGTGCTCTCAGAGATAGCCAAAAATGGTAAGTCATGCTCAAATATTACTGCAAGGCATCTTACAGCACATTAGCTTCCTCTTTTCACTCTTTAACTTTGTTTCACAGCTACCAGCTGTTGCTATTGCAATTGTTTCATTCCCTCTCTCTTATCTACACAGAGGAAATGAAGATACCATGTATTGAAGCAGATTTGGTTCTAGCACTGATACCTTTGCTGGAGAGCACAGACCAAGAGATGCTGCTGCACGCTGGGAGGGCCATTGGCCGCATCTGTTATGATAACCGTAGGTATCCTCTGAAGGGAGCCTGCTCTTCCCTGCCTCCAAGGCATCATTTTACAAGGCATTGCAACCTGGAACTCATAATAACTTCATCAGACCTGAGCACATCATGCACCTCAGCCTCCAGTTAGGCATGCCATTCACAGAGCTCACAGACACCTGGCTGAATGCACCCCAAGCACTGCCTGAACTCTGGGATTCCCCCCTACAATTTTGACTTCAAGTGGCACATCTCTGTTAGAACTGCTTTGAAATCACAATAGGAGCAGAGCCTCGCACATATGTTCACCAATTTTGCACAGTTGCCTTGGGTCCAAATCCTGAATGGCTTGAACTTCTTCCAAAGTAATAAGAACATCTATAAAGCAAAGCACTTGTTTAAAAAGTATTTTTTATCTCTTTTTTCCTAACACACTGAGATATTAATCTATGCAAGGAATAGTCTTCTCTGAGAACCACTGCTTGCATGCAGAAGATCTTTGTGCTCCAAATTCCCTGGATACCAGCATGCTAGCTGGGCTCAAAAGTTCAACAAATTTCATTTACTTGCCCAAAACATTTTAAGTTTTTTTTATCTTTATGTCCCAGACTGCCCAAAATATTTACTGTACTGAAAGTAATATGGAAATTTTCACCCAGTATCTCATCCCCATTACTCTCTCCCTTCAACCTATCTTCTCTAATCCTTCTGGTGTGGATTTCCACAACTTCACTTAGAAATTTGTGGGTTTGCCTGCTTCAGTATTCATATGGAATCCAAACATATTAGGTACCTGGAATAGATTCCACTAAGCTCCCTGCAAGTTGCATGTATTTGTCAGGGAATGACACAATAGTTTAAAAGAGCTGTTCCCTAAAATTCCGTTCCCAGCTCATGTAACTCCTGTGCACAGCACTGCTGCAGCATATGGCCATGCTGCACATCTGCTTCCCTTCTGGCAGAGCACAGGCCCAGCACAGATTTGCCAAGATGATTGTGACATGCTTTAATAAATCCTATTACTAACACTGCAATAAATGCACCAAAGAGAAGAAAAATTAACTTCACCAATTCCTTATTTGAATTCAAATTGCCTGTGCTGCAATAGCACCAGAGCCTTCCTGGTGTCTGCCATGCACTCTGTCACCCAAGCAGCAGCCCATCTCTCAGCAAGACACTGCTGCAAAACCAGTGCCATTGTGCTGTTAAGCAACCATCACTGTCCAACTTTGCATCTTACACTTCTTGGCACCCTCAAAATCATTTCAGGTATTAACCTTTCATTAATTACAAAACAAGCCACAAACAGAAAGGAAACAATTATCAAGGTTTTCCTCAGCAAGCACAAGTGAATGGAGATAGTGGCTTGATACCTTAAGTCAAATTCAAACCAGGAGGTTTAGCAAAAATCTGTCCCAAACTTGCATTTCCTCCACACTCATATCAGCCTGGAGGCACCACCAAAAGCTTTACAAATTCTAACAGTGTGAGAAAGAACCAGAGTACCTTGGTGCTAAGCATCTCAGTTGGACCCTTTCCACTGATTTCATCAGTTCCTGATTTAACCACCTCTAACACCTTTGCTTCACTGACCAGGCAGCCTTCAGGAAGAGCTGGTCAAGGTTGGAGTGATCCCATCACTGGTCCGAATATTAACTGATTATGCAGAGAGTGAACCCCTTGTCCACGTTGCTCTATTGGCCTTGTACAATCTGGCAGACCTTGGTAAGTAAGGTATTCTTTAAAGGATTTTTAGGTTTCTGCATGTTAGAGCAAAATATCTCCACACTGTCACTGCCATTTCATGCCCACAGCTTTGTGGGCTTTGTTTGTTTTCTCCTTTGTTTTCGGGGTGGGGGAGGGCTGGTGTTTGGGCTTTGTTTTTAAAACATTACTGATATCTAATGAGAAACTGGCCACAGTATCTGGATTGGAGAAATAACTACTCTTTTATGGAGTCCTAGCAATTACTTATATTACATTAAAACAATTAAGTTTAACAGCCAGCTTTTGACTCCAAATGAAGAGATGGCATAACTTCACATGATAAATTGTCAGTTTCAATTACTTTAGATTTGGGACATTAAAAGCTTGTTTATTAAAATTTAATTTCTATTTAATAATTAAGTTTCTATACCTTACTAAAACAGCTTCCATTTTCATTTACACAATTTTGGAAGCAAGAGCATCTCCCGTAATTTAAAATATATTTGCCCTATTTTACCCAAGTTGTGAGTAGTAATGGAAGAAAAAGACCAAGTACAAAGTTATTACCACTCTCTATATATGGTCAGGCTAAAATTTCATCTACTTCTTCCAGCATTTAGGGGGGATATGCAGGGAAGGGGACATGATATCACACTGTCACATTATTCTCTAAGGAGGTCTGTCCTTGTTATACCTGTTATATCATTTAATACCATATTCACTTGAAATGTATTCTATGTCAAACAGTGGCAAGCTTTCCTAACATACATTTTGCAGATATTTAGGATGCCAGCAAGGCTAGAATCACCTAATCAAGGCAAAAAATATACTGCTACAGCACACTGACATGTGCCAATTGTTCTATTAAATAATCATACTACAGATGGACTTGTAGGAGTCAGTGAAATTTAGCCAGGATTAATTTGACACCTGTGAGGTCTACAGAAATTACAGAGAAAGAGTTAAAAAACTTGTGGGGGAGAAGGGGTAGAGTTCTGCTGTCTCAGTGCTGTCCAAAGAAACAGAAGAGTCTACAAGAACAGGAAAAGCCTTCAAAGACAGTGTCTAATCATTTCAGATTGTAGGGAGATATCTTTAAACATTTAATCAAATAAAAATTCAAAATCCTGACTTTATCACATACACAGATTCAGCCAAGGAAGCTCTAAGCATGACAAAAGTTGCTGAACAACTGGTGAAGCAGCTGAGGAGAGCAGAGAGCCATGAGAGGTTAGAAATTGTCTTTGAAGTCCTGCAAGCACTTGCAGAAAATGGTAAGGCTCCTTTTGGTCTGGGTGGAACAGGGGACGACTGGGTATTGTACTGTTTTAAGCTCTGGGTCCCAAGTTTGCCATGGGATCCTGCTAACACAACCAGCAACCCTTTCAGGAGAAATAAGCCCCAAGAACATGTGAGATTCTGGCCCAAACAACATGTGAGAAAACAAAGGAAACAAGGAGAGAGCACCATGCCACTGCATTTCAGTACATCCAGAAGACACTAGATTCAGACTTACTCTCCATGGTGGCTAAGAGGAAAGCAGCAACACAGATGTTATTTTATTTTTTTTATTTTAAAGATCAGAACAACTGGGTACCAGTCTGATCCCTGTTTGGGCCACTTACTTAATTGTTGGACTTGCTACTCCTTGTGGATCCCTTCCAGCTCAGAATATTCTGTGACTCTGTGAAGATGGATAAGCTAAGCAGCAATGTAACAAGCACTGACACTGCTCCACTAAAAATGTCTAGATATCTGGCACAGATTTTAAAAACATGAAAGCTCATGACTGGCAACACAAGACATGTCAAAGACCAATGCAGAAAGCTTTGCTCATTCTGCCTTGTGTCATCCTAACTCCAGAAAGCTGTTACAAACAAAACCAAAACAGTGACTTGCACCTGAAAAACAACTGGCTGAAGTTAAAAGCTTCAGCTTTCTAGTTTGAAATGCCTCCACAAAGAGTCAAAAAGCTGTTAATGTGCTTTTACTGTGATCTCTACAGATGCTCTGAAAGTGCAGTTGGTGGATGCAGGTGTGCCAGAGGTGCTGTCTGAGATCCTGCTGAGGCTCCAAGGCAGTTCCCAGGCTGAAGATACATGCATTGTGAAGGCTGCATCAGATCTCATTGTCTCTCTGCTCCTTGGAGGTAAAAAGGGGAATATTACAGGCCAGGAACAAAGAATCAACATCCAAAAGTCCCTTTAGCAGAAGAGTTTCTATTTCTGTTGATTTCTTTTACTTAAACAGAGACCTATTCACAATCTCTTATCATCCTTGCAGGAATTCTTCTCAGGCATGACACTTTTCATTTCTACAGCCTATAGCTTGTGCCTAGCAGCAACTTAGTTTATATTACTGCTATGCTACATTTTGGGCAATATGGATTAAAAAATAAAACATCAAGAACTGGCCACTTAGACTGCATGCCACCATTCTCAACCCCAAAGCAATCAACAACATGAAGGTCTTCAATTATTCACTTTAACAACAAACTAAGTCATCACTGACTGATAGAACAGTTCAGTTGGGGGTTAATTATAATCAGATATGAGATGTTCTCTATTTCTCGTAACACAAACAAGTACATACAGCAGGTTTTTACTAAGGGCTATGGCATCATCTCTTAGAACACAGATACTTGCACTACATCTAGACACTTGCAGGTACCAAGGGCAAGGCTTATTGCTAATTTTAGAAAAGAAACTATAAGGCAGGTTATTCTCTACCTTTCAAAGATAGAAAGCTACTGTTTGTGAGTGCAGGGAAACCCAACACTATCAGATTTCACTACTCTCTGGCTCTGAAATAGTTACTTTCTGTTCTGCAGACTAGACTTGCATACTTAAAAGTTACAGGTGCTACTGATACTATAATAATGTGGGGGGCATAATTGTAAAGAAAGGGGTGATCAAGTATATGCAAGCCTTTGCAATTTGTTTTTTTCCGAGCAACACTGTATTAGAAAGGAGACTCTGGAAATAATGGCAAATATATTTGATAGAAATAAAAAAATACAAAAAAAAAACCCAACACCACACCAAAAAAAAAACCTACCAAACATCCACAAAAACACAAGAAAAACCTCCAAACAAACAAAAAGCCCAAACAAAAAAATCCACAGAGTTACTGCTGTTTTATGTTTTAAATCACTTTAAGAAAGGGAGGGTTACTCAGACATTGAGATGGGAAGAAATCTCAAGATAAGCCATTTTATCTTTCAATTCCTATTATAGAAAGCAATGAGCCTTTATACTCTGCAGAGAGAAAGAGATATTCTTCTGAGCAGACCCCTGGAAAGCATGCTGTGCTCAATCAGTCAGCAAAAGTTGCCCCTCCCACACTTCCTGTCCTATCTCACTGATAGCGACTGTACTGGCTTCAAACTCAATTAACAAAATTGCTCAACTTTCTGCATTAATAGGTGCTTAATTATTAGAAAAAACTCCCTCACATCTGAATGTTGGGGTTTGGTTTGGTTGGTTTTTTTTAAAGCAAACTGTCATCCACACATCTCTTCACCTCCACCTCACAACCTTTGTAGAGTCCCTTCCTTCCTTGCCTCATACCTTGCTCTGAATCAGCCATTGTGCATCAGGGCTCTCCAAAGGCCACAGAAGTGCCCCCAGTGCCTTGAACTGGCTATTTCAATTTACTCAGCTCAATGGCTTGCTTTGTCACTCACTCTTCTCCCCCCATCTTCCCCACAACAGCATGAGATGTTTCATGTGGAAGAAGTGAATAATCCCTCTCATGCCTCAGTGTGTGCCACTGATGTATGCACAGCTTTTAATCTGAGAGCAAAAAAATCCTATGGAAATCTGTTCTCAGCATCAAATGACTTCCAGGCAGTGAAAAGATGACAGACAGCTTTTGCAGCTATGAAAGTGACTGTTCCTATCAGACTTTAACTATGAGCCATTAAATTGAATGTTCTGCTGCTATCCAAGCAAAAACTCCATAGGAGAGAAAAGCAATTTGGAGCTCTGTGACAATCAAAGCAAGGCAACCACTAATGGGCTCTGCCTATTTGCACTTTACTACATGAGAGGAAAAAAATAAAATGTTCTGACATTCTTCAGTTTGAGAGGTGGGGGGAGGAGAGAAATTAACTTCAATTAAGGTTAGTGTATATGAAGATCAAAATATTTTCCCTGTAGAATTTTATCAGACCAAATGAGGTGACCTATTTCTATGAAACCCGTTTTTAAAGAGGACTGGGCAATTTTCCTCATATACTCTGATCTCCAAAGATTAGGACTAGGCAAGAGAACACTTGAATGACAAGCAAAACCATCAGAATATATGCATAAAAAGGTATCAAAAGATTTCTGTGTGAGTAGAATCCTAACTATTTCACAGATTGACAGTTCCCTCATGAAAATATCCAACTCCATTTTACAAGCATTTGATAAATTCTGATCTAACATATGTAAGAATACAGAGGAAAAACAGGCTACTAAGTGAAATATTGAGATTAAAAGAATCATAGGCACTAATTCAAAAGACAACAGAAGTGTTTATGACTTTGAGGTGGAAATAACATCCAAACCAGCAGAAATGTTAAAATTACTAAGGCCCTTTTTACATGCTATACATACAAAAATTAAAAGTTTGTACACCTCAGTCTGTAAATTCAGTTAGAACCATGAGATGTACTGTTGCATACAAGAACAGAAATTACAAAAGAAAGGCTTTATAAAATCAGGCCTTGCACTGCTGAATTATCAGCTAAGCCCCTAAGTTCCCATAAGAAAGAATCAGAGGAATGAGAAGCTGTTAGCAAAACTAACTATTCTGGTAAGAGAACCTTTTGCACCTGCAAAAAACAAAGAGTCTGTCCCATGAGAATCCACAAAGAAAATATGTAAACACCTGGGTAAAGAGAGAGTCTTATACATACACACACAGGCATTTTCTAACTAATTAATTGAGGGGAAAGAAAGTCATGAACCAATTAGAGTTATACATGAGCTCTTGAAAACTGTACCAAAACGAGCTGTAACATTTGGCTTTTCTGCATGAAGAAACTGAGTCCCATCTGCTTATTCCTGCAGCAAAGTACTAGAGCTACTTTTGGCCAGACCATGTATTTGCATGAGGCATGTACAGTTCCATGGAGAACACTTTATTCCAGGTGAATGTCTTTCTATTTAGTGTTCACACTGTTTTGCCATTTTTAACAAACAGCTTTCACAAGGTAAAAGCACACAATAAGGAGATGTTCACATATGTCAGGTATATACTTCTCTTGAGGCATAAACTGCATAAAGCAAAATACAAAAAGTTATTTTCCAAATGCCATGTTCAAAAAACTTCCTTCAGAAAGGAAGTCATCTGTAGCACAGAGGGCTTCCTTTTGCTCTTTGGCAGAACTTTCTCATTTCCTAACAAGGTGAGTTAAGCAGCTTCTGAAAACAAAGCTGCCACCTGTACAGAGCAAGTTCTCAGACAGGAGAAGAGATCCAGACATGCACTGACAAAATACTGCAGAGCATTGCTGGGCAAAAGTGGTAGTTTTTTTGGAATGTACAAATCTGCTCTTTCACTGGGATTTAATAAACCAGATCTCTCCAGGTCAACTCATTTTCCGAGCTTCATGTGAATGTAACACAAATAGATTTCTCATTTCAGAAAATGGGTTTCTCAAAAGAGGCAAGAAAAATCTAGCTCTAATTCTTTCAAGGAATCATTAATGACAATTTATTTCATGGAAAACAAAATAACAGCAGTACAGAACTAGTAATCAGATTTACCATTGGTGGGTAAGATCCCTGGTTTCACAATAGTGTCTTAAATCAGTAGAACAGCAAAATTAAAAGAGCATTAAAACGGTCCTGGTGAGAAATGGAAAATGCCACTGGTATTCTACTACATGTATAATGGGAAATGCAGCAGCACTGAGGGAAAGAAAGGGACTGGGGAACCTATGGTTTTGAATTTGACAGTGATTGTCCCTTAAAAGCTCTCTACTGGAGTGTGTCTCAGCATCAGTTTACAGGTAGCTGATGTTCACTTCTCTATAAAGAGCTGAAGGTTGCAAAAAACAATGCAAAAGCCATAGTCTTGATCATAGCAAGACATGACAATAGTCAAGGTAGAGACTCCCTGAATTCTGCATTTGCATGACTGTGTTTCTTACCTCTCTCACCTGCTTGGTTCTGCCTCTCTCCAGATGGGAACTGCCTGCGTCTGTTCCAGCTGGGGGTGATCCACCAGCTGCTGGACCTGCTGGAGAAACACGTGCGGAGTGGGGACGCCTCTGTCCAACAGGCTGCGCTCAGCGCCCTGCAGAGCCTCGCTGTTCCAGGTGCACAGCTGACACCCTGACTCACCCACTGCCATCCTCTGCACACACAGGGCATCCCTGGTGCACAGCTGACACCCTGACTCACCCCACTGCCATCCTCTGCACACACAGGGCATCCCTGCAGCCCTGGCCCATCACCAGGGCCAGTCCCTTGCGGTTTGAGGGGCAACTGACCTTCCCCCCTCCCCTGCAGAAACATATATTGGAATAATTCACCAGGAATTCCTTGCCACAGAAACATTTTATGAAAAATACTTTCCTTAGGATTTTTCCTCCAGACAAGCTGAGAGGCCACAGGAACAAAATGTAAACAATGACTATTTGCTGCAGTGGAATGCAACAGGTGGATCTGTGATTGGTCTCATGGGGTTGTTTCTAATTAATGGCCAATCACAGACCAGTTGGCCCAGACTTTGTGAGAGTCACAAGCTTTTGTTATCATTCCATTCCACTTCTATTCTTTGCAAGTCTTCTGATTAAATCCTTTCTTCTATTCTTTTAGTATAGTTTTAACATAATATATATGTCATAAAATAATAAACCAGCCTTCTGAAACATGGAGTCAGATCCTCACCTTTTCGCTCTTCCTGGGACTCTTGTGAACACCACCACAATTCCTCACCTACATAAAGAGTTTAAATATTATAAAGTGTAATCTCATTACCTGCTGCTGAAGTAGATTCATTTGTTTCATATTAATAGCACATAGCAGCTCAAGGAAAAAAAAAATCAGAACAGGAGTCACAGCCTAAAGCACAGAGAATGGGGTGGAGACACCTGGCAGGGATGTCTAAGTTTCTCTTCTATAAAGCTAATATTCATATTATAGAGAACTAGTAAATCTTAATGTTCTTTGAAGTTGGATTTTAAAAGGCTCAACTCAATTGTAAAATACCAGTATATAGTGGATTTTTTCACCCCCAATGAATGGGAGAGAATGATGCATCTGACTACATCTTATCAGAAGGCTAATTAATTACTTTATTATACTATATTATTCTATACTATATTACATCTAAACTGAATCTGCCAAGCACTCAACTGCACAGCATCCATTGACTGTCAGCCAACCGTCTCGACATACACACACACATACTTGGCCCTGATAAACCAAGGAAACAAAACAACACCACTTTGGGTAAACAATCTCCATATTGCATTCTACTTTTGCACAAACAGGGGCACAGCAAATGAGATAAGCAGTGCTTTTCCTTTCCCTGAGGTTCAGAGCATGTGAATCTCAGAAATATTCTTGGGAAGATTGCCTTGCTTTTCTCTGTGAGGAGAAATGTGGCTCCACCAACATACAGCATTTTGATTCTCTCTTCTGTTCAAGTTATAACAAACCATTTTAGATGTTTCCAAGTGTGTGGACACTTAAAATGCTCTCCCTACAGTACACTTTTCATCATCAATTCATAAAAGTATCTGCAATTTATCTGTAATATCTGCTAGGTATTCTTTAACAAAAACTCTTCTAGAAACACAAACTCTATCACTTTCAACAATATAATCTGCTACCTGAAAAAAAAAAAAAAACAAAAGACATTGAGTGCAAATCCATAAACATGAATTAAATATGGGTGAACACTTGGAAATAGACATAGAAAACTCTTCAATTCAAGCACTGATCTTAAAAGATAACAGATGCTTATAAAAGATTAAAAAGTCATTATGATCTAGTAAAAAGAGTCAGTCTGTGCCACTGAAGAACAAGAACATTAAGAGCAAGTTACTTAATAGGCTGTGCTTTCCAATTTGCCCAATAAAAGGATGAGGGATACAACAGTTAATCCCCTCATTTCACTGTCCAATCTTCCTCACCACTCCCCCAAAAATACATGCAGAAGATAGAAAAAAAATTGCTCTGAAGGAAGCAGCTTTTGGTGGCACAGTTAAGCGGTATTAAGACTCCTTGCAGACAAGCTTCTGATTATTACAAGGGATTTACTGCACCAAGCCCTGTAGCAAAGACGCAAAAATGAGAGGAAAGCACAAAAACAAAGGCATGAACAACAGGGCATCAGTGAGCTCAAATACAAAAAGAAAATTTGCCAAGAAATGGAATGTGGCTGAGTAAATCACTTCTGCCCCCCAGTTCACTTAAAGTGAGCTAGCACAGAAGAGGCTTCCTCCACCAACTGCCAAGTGGGTGGATAATCTATTACAACTAGAGAAACAACAATGCTGTGCTTTACATACTTTGTTCTGGGCAGGGCTAAGACCAAAAGCAACCAAAACTACCCAAGAGCAGTTCCTATGAAAGCTTTAGCCCAAAAGAGAAGTCCAAGTAATCAGGTAGCCCTGACTTAATTTCTGAGCTCACTAACAAGTTGGACTTTTCACCAGAATCCTAACACAGCACACAGTTCAGAACAGTTGTCATCTCTACATTTTCAGATGTTTGTGCCATCACTGAGCCTCACTCAACCCCTCTCTCCCATTTTGTAGTTGTCAGCAAGGTTCAGATGCTGGAGGAAGGCGTTGCCGAGCGGATCGAGGCGCTGCTGAGGTCAGAGAGCCCTCCTGTGCAGTTCAAACTCCTGGGGACACTACGCACACTAGCAGATGGCCAAGGTAGGCACTGCCAGTGCTCACTGACATCAGCCCTGAGCTCCCTCCTCCCTGCCCTGCCCAACAGGCTGTGCTAGACTGCAGCCTGAGTGTCCTGCTAACCCAGTTCACTCCATCTGGAGAGCTTCCAGCAGAGATTATTGCCAGAGGCTGCACGCTTTCCCAGTCAGCCTCAGAGTGGTTGAGAAATAAACCACATGGAACAAATCTGCAGCAGTCAGTGAGAACAGGCAAAGGCCTAAAAAGAAGATATTTTTCACCAGAGATAGAGCAGCAAGGCATGAGTCTGATGAAAAAAAAAACAGGTTTTAATGTCAAATCACAGGACAGCAAATCAATGAAGAACTAGAGAACACAAAAGGAATAAAGGGAGCTGGGGTGAAATAAGGCAGAAGAAATTAATTTCTACCAGTCTTTCTATACATGTTGCCAGCTTTATCTTGCTCATGTGGCTCAAATGTTGAATTTATTTTCATGTTAATGTATTAGATTATCTACTTGTACTTCACTCAGTTTAACACAGAGGGGGATATGCAAAAGCAACAATAATCTTCTGTGCACATCATTGCGCATATTTCTCAAAATGCAATGTTGGAATTACATTAAGATATACTTCAATATCTTAATTAATCCTTAGGCTTACTTAGCTCTTACCAGACAGTGACACAAAACAAGTGTGCAGTTTGGTATGGTCTTTCCCATAGCCAGAGCAGCTGCTCTAGAGCACTAATCAGTACTGATTCCTTGATATGCAGGAATAACATAAGTTAAAACTGGAATAGTTAGAATAGACCATTTTGTGATGGGAAGTGATAACTGACATAGGACAACTACAGACATACTTCATTAGTTACATGGAAGAGGATAAAACCTCACTCTGCTACATTCCATGCTGCACTCCATTGCACTACTGCAGACACCACTTAATACGAGAATTATTTGCATAATTTATCAAATTAACATGAATGATAGAAAATTTCGATTTAGTCCTTCTATTAATTTGCACCACTTCCAGTCCAGTGAAAAGCTGCTCTCACTTACATTTCACTGTGGTAGGAAATGAACATTGCAAGACATAGAAACCTAGCATCTTCTTGTTCTGAGGCTTTGAAGAAGTCATTGTAAGGTCATTTCTCCAAAGTTATATCTCAATTGTGAGAAGGCGTTTAACATTTAAAATTGAGACATCACAGTAACATGGATCTAAATTATCAAACACTAAATTATCTTTTAAAATTTTATTTACCAGCCCTAATACAAAGTCAGAATTTGGCACAAGGTACAACTTCTGAATCTGAAACAAATTAATTATCAAAATGCAAAGTAGAATAAAATATGTAGGAGATTCAATGTTTATCCATTCCCACCTATGAACATACAATTCTCCCACTTTTAATTACCTTCTATTCTGTTTACCCAGGAGCTAACATTGTCTTTAATTAACTCAGCCTGAAATTCTTATGAACACATATCTACTAAGAAGTCCACGCTAAATTAGTTAATTGCCTTATCTAGGATAAATTCATTACTCTGACTATCAGCAGGCATGCTGAGGCTTACAGACTAGAAGAGGCAGGTTTCTTCCTAACCACAGAAAACTGCAGGCAGATCTGTCAGCTTCATTACTCTAAAGAGATGTTAACTCCTGCTTCTTCCACCATTCAGCTTCAGAGGAGCAGAATAATTTGTGCACTTCAGTAGCCAAAGGACTTTCAGCACAACTGAAAGTTCAACCTTATAAAATGACAAATTTGAATAAATTGTAAGTTAAAAGGTCTTCCTGTTAAGAGTAACTAACTGGAGTTTATCTCAAAGAGCTCTACTGCCTGTCAAACTGAGTAAAGAACCTGCCTCTGCCACAAATCTCCTAAACTGGTTCCATCCTCCAGCCTCTTACTTCACCTTCCTGTACTAAGCTGGATTACTGTGATCTCTGCAGACAAACAAGGAACATCTGACTAGAAACAAGAGTCTTGTGTTACAGGAGACAACATGCAGGTGGCTCTGCAATGCCCAGTCACTCTTGTCTCAAAGCCAAGTATGCCAGCTAGGCTACCAGCTCCCAGATTCCTTGTGGCATTTTGAAATATGGATTGTTCCTTAGTGTACTAGACAAATTAAAAAGCAAGTGTGTGTACTTCCCCATCTCCCTCCCCCTAAACAGAGCATGGGCTGACTTACAGCTTCTGGAAAATATCTAGAGCCATCATGGGATTACTGACACTGACCTTCTGGTGCATGCTCCATCTGATTCTTCCAGCCTGTCTCAAAAGAAATGCAGTGCATAGAGAAAGGGACAGGTAAAGGAACAGGAGCAGGGTCATGCCTCTATCAAACCTATCCCTTCTGTTTCAGATGTTCAGATAATTAGAGTTCCACTTCCTAGGACAAGTTATCTAGTGAGGTTTTTTCAAATGTCAACCACAGACAGTAGTATTTCTAGCAAGTCTTGAGATAGGGTTCCTGAAACGCAGGGGAATGCAAATAAAAAGGCTCCTCCACAGTAAGGGGAATTTCTGATAATGCCTTATACATGGTTCAACACACATTCTTAAGACTCAGGTCATCCAATTACTGACATGCTGCCATTCTGTATTAAGCCTTGGCTTCCCACACTACCAACAGTAATGAATTATCACCGAAACAGCAAGAACAGGCTCCTTAGAGCCCACACTTAGATTTGTGCAGGGCTCAAAGTGCAAGTGCCAAAGGCCAAGTGGGAAAGGAATGGGCCTCCTGAAGTATCAAAACAGAGTATTTGTTTTCAAAGACAGAAAGGTGCTTATTCTAAGTCCTACTTCAGCAGCCCCTTTAAAATGATAGCTCTATTGACGCAACTTATTTTGTCCTTCCCCTGCATGATTCCTTTGGAAAATATTTCCAAGATCTTTTAAAAGCAGCTCAGTGCTTCAATTAGAGTTCCTGACGGCTGCTGAGCACAGGTCCACCGCCCCAGTTACTCTACACTGGCATTCCTGTGGCAGACAGACTGAGGGCTCTGACTTTGCATGCCTCTTGGTGATGCTCTTCTCCCCAGCGGATGCAGCTGAACTCCTGGGGCAGGACCCGCTGCTGCTCGACCGGCTGGTGCAGTGGTGCAGCGGCAGCGACCACAGCGGCATCTGTGGGGAGGCCAACCGGCTGCTGGCATCCATCCTGCACCACAACAGATCCCAGGTACCAGAACCCTGCTCTGACACGTTTCTACCTCACCCTTCTCAAGTGTTCTTAAAGCTTGTAGACAGAGCTAAGGATTAAACAGCACACGCAGCTCTATAATGAAAAGGTTCACGTGAAGGTTCACAGTGAGAAGCTCTCCGTTCTGCCTCAATACCAGTAAGGGGGAGACCTGTGCACTCCATAAGCACAGACACCTCACAGAATAAGCACCATGGTCACTGACTGTCACTTGTCAACACTGACCCTGCTCAGTAAGGCTTGACAAATGGTAATGAGCAGGTAAAGTTGTCTATGGCCATAAATACATGGCAATATTTCAAATTAAAATGGTAAAAGTAACCCAGAGCTGTCCTAAATGTCAGTCCTCAGGAAAATCCAAAGAGCCCATTTATCCACGATGGATGAATCTGGCATGATCTTTACGTGCTGGCATTTTCAAACAGGCTTCTTTTTTGTAAATTGTGCTATTACACACAAGTATCCCAGCCATGCTTTACTATGAGGTAGTGACTAAAAAAGTAGATACTCTCTGCACAGGCTTTGATAAAGCAAAACTAATCCTTGCTAGTTTGATGGCTTGAAATGGAAGAGTGGAATAAGGACAAATTGAAACGAGACAGAATATATATTTATCTTACACATATGCATCTATAGTTAATTCTAAGTATTGATATTCCAGGTATATTAGACCAGCCCTAAGCAGACATGTATGATCAGTGCCAAAAGCAATGTTATCCCTAGTCTTTGAATATTGTCAGTTTGCACTGCAGCAAATAATTTCCCTCTATTCAGAAGCTGAAGGGTGGAATCTCATTTCCCTCTTCATTCTACTCCATTCCTATATTAGATTTCCATCTGTTTTACCTTTGCTTTCACAGGAAGTGGTCAAAGCCATCCAGGCAGCACAAGGAGTGAAGCATCTGGTTTCCATGACAACAAGTGAACAAGATGCCATGCAGAATGAGGCTCTGAATGCCTTGGCAATAGCATCTGCCATTGATTTAGGTATTTTTCCCCTAAAATCTGCAAGATCCTTAATTATTAAGAAATACTATCATGCTGTTAATTCTAGGTAACATGTACGAAAAAGCACGTTTCTTGTCTAGATTTAGCTCTTCAGCATGAAATAAAGGTTGTCACCATTCAGATCATAAAATCAATAGGCTTTGGGAATGGCCAGAAGGATTTTTTACATTTAGGATAGAGCCAAATTATCATGCTGTGTGGACCGGCACTATTTGAGTAGCAAAACATGATGCTAGAAACCTATAAAAAAAGGGGAAAGTGAAGGTGATAGAGATAAAAAAAGATGATAAAGGCCAAATGAAGGACAAATAATATACTCAAATGGACAATGAAGACTAAGTAGCAGAAATAATCTTCAAACAGACATGAGGAAGGAACAAAGCAGATGCATAAGTAAAAAGGCATTGTAGAAGCTGCAAATAAAACAAGGGAAAAAATGGTAAATATTCAAACTACTTTTCCCGAGCAAATTTTCAGAGTTAGGTACAAATGTTTTCAGGCTTTTCCTGTATAACTTGAAAGTAGGTCTGAATTTATTACAATAAAGAGACACCACAGAAACCTATGTACCTCAAAAGGTAAACTGAAAAGAAAAATAAACTTAAAACTTGCAATTTTCTTTACCAACACAAGACTGAAGAGCCCATTTTAGTGCTTGTCTACCATTAAAACTCTCAAACTCATTTAGGCAACCTTTCTAGCACTGAACATTGCAGGTTTTAATTTACTGCAAGGTTAATTATATACAGTCAATAGTGGACTGTTCCTGTCTTCAAGAATAAGGCCAGTAAAGAAATTCTGTACAGAAAAGAGCACAGAAATTCTTCAGTGCAGAAGAGAGATGCTCAAGACATTCCTGTATAGCCAGTTTGAAATGAAGCCAGTGCAGAACTTTCTTTAAAAAAAGAAACATATTCACTTTACAGTTTCTTTTCAGATAACAGCTCAGGGTTACCATTTCTTTGTTTATTTTTCAGATACTCTTGAAGAATCTTTTAAAGAATCACAGCTAGTTCAGAGCTTACACAAACTTCTACGAGATGACAACACAAGTCCTGAGGTGAAATACAATTCAATGGGCCTTTTGTGCAGACTTCTTAATTCAGGTAACCTCATTTTACGTTGTCTGTGACAGAAGGATTACTATTTGTGAAGAAGACAAGTGGGTTTTGTTACCAAAATATGCTGCCTGCAATGCTCTAGTGAATGAGAAAAGGATATTAGAGGTTCATTCTGTATTGATCACCAAAAATCAGTAGTCAAGTGTGAAAAGCTGATTAAACCATTAGTTGAATAAAATAAAAAAGAGAGGAAGGCTTCATTCCTCTCAGTGGCATAACCAGGTCTCAAAATAGCAAACTAGTCCTGGAGTAAAAGCATCTTTGTCCAACTTCATCATGCACAAATACCAGGCACTCCCAGAGCATTTGTGTCCAAAGAAAGAGTCTGTGCCACGCTCATAGGCAGGCAGACATTTGCTCTGCCTGTGCTGTGAGCAAACCAGAAGCTGATATAAAGCAGCCATTTTGGCAATGCTGCCTTCACACAGAGACTCTGAGTAAAGCATCTGAAGGGCACCATTTCAGTTTCACTCCATGGTCATGGAAAACTTCAAATGCTTCCAAGCCGGATGGGACTATCCCAGATGTGTAGCACTAAATGAAAACAAATCACCTTGAAACTAGGAGTCCAAAAATCTTGTGGCAGTTTCTCACATCTTAACACAAAAATTACATAAACTGAAAATAAGAATTGTACTTGGGCAAGGATGGATCACAAGGTGCGCTGCCTTTTAAATCCTGTATTGATAGACAAGCTGGATTTTGCAGTATTCTCTATTTTATCCCTGTAGCCATACAGACATTGGAATAAGGATAAAGAACTTGCAGCTTTCAGTGCTACTATGAAGTATTGACATAACAGATACAATCTATAAGACTTTTTCCTAGAGATGTATATACTTAGCATTTTACAGACTAACTGTAAGGCTAAGAGCTGAGTCTAACTAACATGGAATGGTAGCAAAAAGCAGACAAAAAAGTGCCAGAAATTGTCCTGTATTAGAATTTCAAAATCTCCTTTTATATTCTGTCAATTAGTTCTTAGTAGTCAAGTAAGAGGAAAAAAACTTAATCTGGCCAATACTTCCAGTGGCTGAAAGGGTATCTAGTGAAACAGATGTTTTAATTGAAGCAGCTTATTACAAACAGCAAGTACTCCGAACTTTTATCTTACAATTGTTGGGAGCCACTATGCCATGGCAGGTAACTAAAAGTCATCACTTCATCTCCCATTCAGGTGATCTGAGACAAGAAATAGAAGAGGACAAGATCAAAGACACCCTTGAGCAGCTCTGCAGTCACAGCAATGCAGATGTGGTCAAGGGAGCCATCACAACATTAGAGGTGTTGAGAGGAGAGACACCCCACTAATGTCCCCTTCTCCCACAAGGCAAGGCAGCTCTGCTGCTGAGGCACACACCACCAGCTTTGCAACTCTTGCATTTGTCATGCTGCTGCAGAACCAGCACTGCTGAAGCCCAGGTGCAGCTCCTGCTTTGAAATCCTCCTCATTAGCACATCTCTTTGGCCTGATACTTGCACCACTGCTGCTCCTCACTGAGCCACTAACACACAGCAGCAGGAAAAAGTCCTGTCAAGCAAATGGGGTTAAGAAACATCACAGGACAAACATCAGGCAATTGCCACTTGTTATACATTTTCAAGTGGCTAGGTCTTGTGAGATTAGGATACACACTTGTAATTTTTCTTCTATCAATGGGACTATAAAATAATGATAATAAAAGCCTTAAGCTTTTATCATGCAACCTGAAACATGAGTTAGATTAAAGCTGGAGCTTAAACAATGCAAAGGGATAACTGGCACCAATGCAACATCTGAATGAAACACTTTGTGAATGACACTGTAAGCCCAACTGTTAGGTGAACATGTCAAAACCAAAACTGTCTTTAAGTTAGCTCTCCCTTCAATCTCCAATTTTAAAGCCCATCTCTGAAACTGTACCTGCTGCTGTCACAAGTTACATTCCTAAATATTTGAGGCTATAGTCTTGTCCTGACTTCAGAGTTGCACCGACTGGAATGAGACTCTGCAGAAGCAAAGTTTACAAGAAACCACAGTCAGTGAACACACTTGGACAAGCCAGTCAGAAATTACAAGTGGGCAGGGGTGAGGACGTAGAGGCAGCCAGCATTCCACTACCACCCATAACAGAACCTGGGTTTAACTTTAGATAATGGAAAAAAAGAAATGTAGTAAAACAAATGTCTCTGAACATTTCTGTGGAATCCTTTTGTGTTTAAAAAGGTCACTAGATGAGAAGGTAACAGATTTATTCCACAACTTGTTCTTATGGGAAATTTTTTAAGCAGTTGAAGGTACATTGCAGCGTCATGCTGTCCAGACCTAAAAGATCAAATTCAAAACAATGAAGTAGTAGAGACTGAAAAGCTTAGGAGCAATTACTTTTTTTTTTAGCCAGCAGAAAAGCTATTGGGAAAAAATAAACAAGCACTGATCTTCAGAAACCTATTATAAAGCAGACTATTTAGAAGTCAACAAGGCTTCATGTTCTCAGTTTGAGAACAACTGGCTTGTGTCTGCAAACAAACATGACAGCTTTGTTCCTGAAAAAGCTTTTCCACTTGCAAAACCCAGTAGCACTACTTAGCCCATGACACTCATCACCAAATATCACTCTCAGGAGTGGCCTTGAAAAAGGGAATTTCATAAAACCACCCAAGAGAAGTGACACTTGTTGAGTAACACATAGGCAAGTTTTGATCACATAATAGGAGAAAAGAAAAACAGCACTGTTAACTTTTTTTGATGTCCAGAGATTGAACAGTTACTCTACACCATTCTGCAGCTCTTCACTTGTTCATGGCTTTCCATTAAAAATGCAGAGAAAAACATCAGTCTCATCTATTATTCAACAACTTGAACTGTAAAGAAAAAATATAAATAATTAGTTTCAGCAAAATACAAAAATAAGCACCCCTGGACTTCCACCATTTCTGGGTTATCCACAAACTGCAGTCTCAGTAGCCAGTCTAAACCTTCAAGAGTGAAATATTAGTGACTGCAAGCAACAAATCTCAGGAATCAAACTCCAGGAGTAGAAAATATTGAATTTTATTTAATCAAATTTAAGGCTTGAGAAAAAATATATTGAAAGTCACTCAAAACAGCCATCTCAGAAGAGGAGACAAGAGCTCCCCTCCTGGTGGCTGAACAATGTTCAAGCTGCATGACAATGCACAGGCAGTAAGGGGAAGAAAGAGGGAAGGATGGGATGGGGATACAAAACCCAAGGCAATTCTACACCTAAATCAATGGCCACATCGAGCTCCATGGACTGGGAGCACAAGTCTGTCCACATGGCACTGCATGAGCTCACCACAGCTAAAGATCTCTTGGGAAGAAACATTCAGGCTTTCACAAGGCAACCCAAGGTCCTTTGGTCACTGCACTTTTTTCAGTGCTTATATTCATCCTCCTCTTCATGTACAGGGAAACTCTGTCCAAATGCAGTTATATCAATAACACCAGAGGCAGCTGCACTGTAAAACACACTGACACATACATACATTGGTTAACAGAAATAAGTTGTGCTCATGTCTGAGAAATAAAAGATATCACATTGAAGTTTGCTTCTCTCAGTCCAGTTCTTCAAGTCTGACCTCTTTTGACATCTTCATGAAAAACCTTGGTTCCACTGTAGTGTTGGTGAACTTGTTCCAAATGCACCCGCTGAAATCTCAACATCAACAATGTATCAGACCTCTCCTTGAGATCACTGAATTCATTTTCCTTTGAGGCTTCAGAGGCAGGCTCACAGCCAGCCGTTTTTGCTGACAAGACTTTTTTTAGACCATAACCTAAATCTTTAGCCATGAAGTCACTGCACATCCACAGAGAAGGTGCTAAATAAAACTAAGCAGAAAGTGTTCCCATTACAAGTCTGAAATTACACCAGCCACCTATGGGTGTACTTCAGCACACAGAGGGGCAAAACAACCTAGAGCCCCAGGATTTAAAAAATTACACTGAATAAGCACAGAGAAGTTTATCCACAGTGGCAAAAAAGACAACTCACTCCATGAATTTATAGGTCCTCAAATAAGTTGAACTTCTCTCAAATTCAGTTCCAAATAACTGAAACACTGATACAAAGGCTGGTGTTAATATGGCCAAAGCCATTAAGAATGAACTGTGGAAATACAATACTTGAGTTAAATTCTGGTTTGCATACAAACAGTGCTTCAAAAAAACCCAAGTATTAGTTAGTCTTCAGGTAACTTGGCAAGATTTGCAGACCCTGGAATTGTAATCTGTAATGCTGGTTCTTGTCAGCAGCTAGTTTCAGTGCATGATCTCCACAGCCATCTTTGACTCCAGAATGATTTTCACCAAATCGCTGGAATTCCTTCCTAGCATTAGGAGCTGGCTGTGTCAGAAACTGGCAAAGGGAAATGTACTCCCTAGCTGCTGTTTTCAATGACTAAAAACTTCCAGAGAGGAATCTGCCTCCTCCAGTTTTACATACACATCAGATTATCACACATAACCTTAACCAAGTAAATTGGCTGATGAGGTGTTACAAAGTTTCAAGCACCAGAATTTAAAGCACAGTTTGCTGGCCACTGCTCTGCTGCTTACCAAGTTGTAAATTTTAGTACAATCACACATTTTTGGCTGCTCCTTGTGGATCAGATTCAACAAACAGGTAACACAGACCTCAAATTTATGGCTTTACAGAAGAAATGCCTCTTGCTCTCCCCTCAGTGATCTACTGCTATTGTTTCCTTGTTGTACACCAAATTTCAAAAGTCACAGTGTACTTCCAGCCATTTTACTTTCAGGTCTTCAGATGAGTTAATAGCAGACTATTCTCTGCTATTGTAAGGAAATCAGCCATGCTTAGACAAGCTTCCTTTTCCTGTTGTGTCTCAATCACTGGCCAGAAAAAGAACTATGAAAGCTGAAGTACACATGAGCACTGTCTGAAGTGCTTCAAGATTACAAGCTAGAAGGATGTCTGGACAATCTACCAGACACAAAGATTCTTACTGTTGATCAACTTTTGCCAGTGAAATGTTTGTTAATACATGCATAATAAAAAAAAAGAAGACAATATATTTAAAAGCTCGGCTTCCAAAGAAAGCCATATACTTTAGAAAGACAAGTATTAAATCCTTCAGGCACACTACATATAGTAAAATATCATTATAAAAATAGATACTTTTCTAAAATTTACACTGTGTTAGGCACTGTAAGTGAACCTGCTCCCTGAAAACCCTGGTGTCACTGGAAGCAGTAAATGATGTTAGTTATATGGCCCACAGTAAGACTGACAGCTACTTTTAAAAACACTTTGGCCACAGACTTTCACCTTACAGCTAAAGATACAACACCAAAGTCTTACAGAAGAGACTGGAACTCCTACTGACCTACAGATCCATCCACAACCCCCACAAAGGGAGGACTGGAAGAGGAGTTTACTTTTCTCTTGATTAAAATGAAAACCCTGACATAAGAAGGACTAGTTCAGCTTCATGTAGAAAATGACTGAAGAAATTATTCTGCTTCACTGCATTTTGATTCACACTTGAACCATGAACCAGGCAGAACTGATGGCTCAATAGCTTTATACAAGAATTTAAAATTCAACAACTTTATAATATTTTGCTAAATCTGTACTTCCCTATTTAAAAACATATTCCAGTAAGGATTAACACTGAATTTGTAAGTCTTTCATCAGTCCTGGTAGTGGCAGTTAAGACTTGTGAAGATCAACATAGCAGTTGTGACAGAAACTAGAGGAATAACAAAAGCCATCAACAGCTAGCACAGCATGCTTGCTACCTACTGAAACAAGCTGCATTCTGAAGTGTATGCAGGCAGCACTTTTTAAAGCTATTACTGATCATTGAAAGGATAAGCATTTTTAAAGAGGTTTTTCTTCTATAAATAAAGAATATTTACATTTTTCTCAGACAGGAAACAGCATCAGGGCTTTACACCCTCTTGCCTGAAATGGAGATTTGTAAGACTTAATGCTACAGATAGTCAGATCTTTCCCATCCGGGGAGCTGGCTTGTATTTTTCAGAATAGCGTGGGATTTGCACAACCTAAAAATCAACTAAAGACCTAGACATTTTGTGATTGTTTTTCCCAATTTCCAATTATGGTTGCTGGATATGTTGCCAAAAACGGCTGGATAAGTCTACTGGAGAGATTAACATGATTGCAAGGTTCTGAAGAAATCAGCATGTGACATTTGACAAGATTACATTTTAAGACAGAAGACAGGAGTGAAGACAGAACAATCTCCTTAGCAATCTTTCAAGGAGAGGGTTTACAGCAGTTTCTCGGCTCTCTGCTACAGTCTTTAAAATCTGCTCTGCCAATGTCTTGGGAAATTCCATTTCTTCCTCAGAGATCAACGCTGGTGCGCTGAGTTGTCTTGCCAGAAAAAAGGTAGACAGCAGGTGTTTGGTGATTGTTTTTTGTAACAGCTTCTAACAAAAACCATGAGCAGGGAAAAAAAATCCACATAAGGCTTTTAATAACAGGAGTATTTCATGGTCTGTGCATTTCTTCTGCCTTGGTGTCCAATCAATCATCTTAACATACGCTGTCTTGCAACGTGGGTCTGCTTTCATATTCAGAAGGCATTACTTGCCTTTACAGCTTCAATATCAGAAATCAATGTCCTGGCTAGGAAAATCCCAAAAATCTAAAAAGATAAAAAATACACCATTTTGTGAGATAAAACACTTGTAATGCACCTCTGCAAGATGTTTGTTGGCAGGTTCAGATATTTCATAGCCAAGATCATCCATCAAAGCATAGCTATTACTAAAAGGTAATAAAGGTAACAGAATCCTGCAGGTAATAAAACTCAAGAGAAAGATGCTTTTATGTAAAACTTCAGCAGCCTTCAAAATAATAAGCTTTCAGATGCCTTAGAGCCAGAACAAATCCACTTAACCCAGTCTGAGTGTCATAAAACACCCATGCTTACCTACTGCTAAAGCTACAGAGCAGACATTTGCATTTGTTCCACAACTTTGAATAACAACCTAGTCAGTTTTTAGATCAATTTTTTTAAATACAGACAGAATGTACAATTACCTGTACTAAAATGAAATTCTTGTCACAGAGAAAAGAGTAGTCCCAGATTAATCAGAGACATTTTAAATTTGAAATTTTAACATTCGTGTCAGTTCTCAGGGAAATCTACCTTTGCAAACTGAGGATAAACTTGTAACTCAGCAAATTTCCTAAGACATTCTTAGCAATAATATAAAACAAGAGTGAAGTTTTGGAAAGCTAAAAGATTTCATTTAAATCTAGTCAGGTTATGTCTAATTCTCAGTCCCACAATGAATAGCTTAATGCACAAGAAAGACCCAACTGGAAAATACAAATAACTGAAAGTGGTTTCACAGAGCCTTGGGACACGAACAGAGAACAGCATTGTCAAGTTATTGTCAATCAACACACTGCCAAAAGATCAAACTGTGTCTTGACCATCTTCCTAGCAAGAGGTGCTGCTCTTAGCACAGCACTTCTCAATCCCATGGAAACCTTATCACCAGGTGGTGATAAAAACATACCAAACCCTAAGCTTCAGAGGGCAGTATTACCAGGGCTGGAGGAAGATCTTTTGCTAGCACTCAAGTATTGTGAATTACCGGGAAAATCCTTTCTGTAGCAGAATTTAAAGTTCATTGCTTCCCATTGAAGTGAAGGAATTTCATAGCCTAGAAATTAATGCAGTGCAAACAACTGCCACAATGAAAGCAGCATCCACCCTGAAAGCAGCAATGTAAGATGCTTTACTGAGAACTTCTGCTCCCTCTCTGATGTATGAAGCACTGATGAGGAAATAGAAATCTCCATCTTCCATCTGGTCCTACTAACACCACATTTGCTACCTGTTCACCCATTTCCCTGCTCTTACATTCCCAACCATTTTGAGCAGCATGCTACAACCACTTCAGGTCAGCCACTGCAGGTTACCCACAGGTGGCTGAGGTAACCTCAGCACAAAGGACAAGGCTGTATCTTAGTTCAGGTTTGTGATAGAAGGCTGGAGCTCAGCTCTGCTGGAGCAGACAGCAAATACCCCTTCCTTAATGACATTGAAACACAGGGAAAATTTTATAAAATAATTGTATATTAAGTATGACCATATTAATATTACAATCTATATCCCAGTCATCACACACTATTATTACTGCACTGTATTTTTATTATAACCTTCTCTGCTTTGTGCAACAGGTGTTTTCACACTAACTCCCCTTTACTATAATAGGTGTTTCTGCCATCCTCTTAACAAATCTAAAAAATCCACATTCAAAATATTTATTTTACCTCTGTCCATAATTACTTTCACCTTCAGCAGGTCTTTATCTGCAAACATGATGATTTTTCAAAGAATCATAACAATAACAACTAACCTGGAGCAATGAGATAGCTATGAAGACACCTGCAACAATGTAGATATTTCGGGGTAACCAAGCTTCAAGCGCATGGATACATCCTTTGACAAAAATCTGATCATCCCATTGACTTTTGCTCTAATGGTAGAAAGGAAGAATAAGAACATTACTTTTCTGCTCAAGTTTACTCTAAGATCAATCACATGATCTAGCTAGGTTAATGTTTTGTCACTTTTGCTGTAAAATTTTTAACCACACTTCAAAAATACACATGTGAATCAGGGAATGTCAGACATTGATATTTGCATCTTCCTTGTTAGAAACACAGTAGAATTAGTAGATGATAGATGGTCAAATTAGCAAACAACAGATCAGCAGATTCAGACTGTTACAACTGGTAATTGAAACGCACACTTGAAATCCAAGTCCTATCCCTTTTTTGAAACCCTTTCCCCTCACCTGTTCCCAATTTGTTTTCTCTCCCCTTCCACAGTGGAGGGTTACTTTAAACAAAGGACAATGTCCACCCTGCTCTACCTGTAGTATGATGCAGCACAGTTATTAGCTCCTAGAATTTTGAGCTGACACATTTATCAGCAATCCCACCAGTTTTAGTCTTGTCTCTGCATGCACAGAACATGACACACATCCCTTACCTTCTTTCTGATATCATAGCCACACTGTGTATTCACAACTTTTTGCTGCAAAGCAAAAGAGATTTCAAATAAACAAATCAATTTACTTGTGGTCACTTCTGTTCACAGCAAGTTTTTATATCCTTTATATCCATAAACAAATAAATTGTCAGAGCCAAACATTCTTAAAAGCATTTTTAGCAGAAACAAGCAAAGCTCAAGTAGAACAGAAGAAAATTAATGACAAAGCAAAGGTGTGTACTATAGATGATATCAGATGATATCCTGCACCAGAAATCTCAGCTGTTTCTATCACTTGGCATTCAACTAGCAACGTTTTAACATGAAAACTGCACTGCCAGCACACAGGTGAGACATGTGCATTTACAAAACTGGTAGTAAGGTTTATTGAAATAATAATAGAATCTCACATTAAACAGACTTAAGCATCCTTCTGCCTCCTTAAATATAGCACCAGCAACAGAGAAATGTGCAGTTGAACAGTACTGCTCCAAACTAAGCTAGAAAATAATTACTGGGGAATCTGAATATGGCCCTGACAAAGGCTCTCCTCAGCTGATTTCCAGTAGAATCAGAAGCCTACCTGGTATTAAATATAACTTAGCAATGGCGCTCTCAGCACAAGGATTGCTGGATGGATTTTAAGCTCTAAGTATTCCCAGTAATACTATAGAGCACTACAAGTTAGCCCCTACCTCCACATTTTGGCATCTACTGCAAGGCTTAAAAGTTTGACAAAGTTTAGTAAAACAAGTTAACCAATAAGTAGGTAAACCTTGCCAAAACCAAGGACTGACTCAGAAGCTTTAAACTTCATACATGAGTACTTTACTAATTACTGACAAAGCAGCAAATGGAATTACTCCTGCCTTTCTGGCAAAGGGGTGGTGAAACATTAATTCCATTTGGGGTAAACACACTCTTAGAGGTCTCAGCTCTTTACAAGCCTGAAAAAGGCCAGGGATCCAAGGAAACAACACACTGGGAATAAAAAAAAGTCAGCCACCAGTGCTTCAGATCCAAACCATATCAAAATGGCTCGAATTCCTGGTGACAACACATTTTCAGTTAACAGGTTGCCACATTTGGACTCTAAAAAGAATGCAACAGAAACACAAAAAAATGGTTTGTCTGCACAAAAGTAATTTTTGTTCATTTAGGACACCTCAAAGCCCTTCAACACCTTATTCAGGAAATACTTCCTGTGATAACTTGACAATCTCAGGGCAACAACAAAGCCAGGAAGCAACTTACAGCAGGATCAGGTATACAACAGGAAAAAGGAACTCCACACTTCTCACGACTTTTGCTTTCACTCTTGCAGTCAAAGTAGATGTTGAAGTCCCAGTCTTCTGGACCTTGGGCACCACAACAATGGTTCTGCAGCAGATAAACACATTCCAGAAGCTTGTTCAGTGGATAAATTATCTCTGAAATACCTCCAACCAATAAGTGTTTTCTTACAAATCTTCACTATCCCTAAGTCAGTGCAGAATCAATGACAACAGCAAAATGAATAGATGTGAAATCAAAGCTCTGTGAAATCAAGGCAATACATCTTGAATATTGCTCCTGGAAACAGGTGTCAACATGTCAAGAAAAATCATAAAAATTATCACTTTAGATGTAATTGTCATACAATCAGTTCCATTGCAAAAGTTTTTGAAGAGAAAGCTTTTTCTTAGGGAGCAAGGGAAAGGGGAGGGGAGCAAGTGCCAAAGGTGAAAGTCAGATGCATCCCTGAGAGAGCTTGCACAGCAGACATCAGAACAAGCCTGGATCTCACGGTATCTTCCCTCCCTGCTGCTTTCAATATAGAAGGAAGGAAACCAGCAGATCAGTTACACAGTACTATTGGCTACAAATTATTATCATTCTATGAAAGAAAAAATGAAAACTTTAAAATCTATATTCTCCTAGAAGGCATCAAAGAAGCGACAGGATATGAACTTACGATTCTCTGTAGTGAATCAATGATGTTCTGGAGGTCAATGTCGTCTCGGTAGGATTTAATGTTATTCTCAAAGAATTCTTTTACCCTGTCCCTCACCCAGTCCTGGAACAGGAAGGCCATAACTGCTACTGCCAGCTCCAACAGGAATATAAACACAATTGTTCCACAGAACTGTAAAAAACAAAAGTACTAAATTAGAAAATATGAATTCATTTTGAATGCATTCCTATACCACCAGAAACAGACACAGAATTGGGTTCAAATTTTGATCCAGTACAGACACTGAGCACAGTGAGTATACAAGGTAAAGAAACCCCAAGAGGCAGAGTTATCCTTTTCTTTTTGTCACCTGAACTTGACAGTAAAAAGACCATCAGACAGTCATTATTCACAGCAACCAAACCAATAATAAATGAGAATTGGTAAAACACAGGGCTAAAGAAGTCTTGTTTACCTCTTGGATTGTTTCTGATTTTATAATTTTTTTTCAACTTTTTGTCTAGCTTAGCTGTTTTCAGCTCTAAAGCAAAGAAGAAGCCTCAGTACAAAAAGAACCATTTAAGAAATTTTACATCACTCTCTGAAGTCCCAAAGTTTTGCCAATATGTACAAGAAACTTTAAAGTTTTTAAGGGATTTTGTTCCACTATATTATACTCTCTCAGTGATTCCGAACTGACTAAGCATGTTCCATAACAACACAATGTCAGATTGATAGACCTACTATAACATCACTGCAGAGCAGAACCAATTAAAAAAGGCAGGGAAGAACATGTTCCACAAAGAGGAGAATAGATAAGCTGGAACCACCCTGCTTTCAATACCATTACTCAGAGGTTTATCAAGGCAGCAAGTTTACCATATATTTTGCCACAAACCAAATTCTATCAATTAATTATCTGTGTTTGCTCCCAGGTCTTCATCAGTTGCAGCTTTCACACATACAACAATTCCCTCATGTAATGATGTTACTTACAAACTTCAGCAGGCAGATGTTTTCTCTCAGTGCTCCCACACAACCAGCAAATCCCAAAGTAAACATCACTATTCCCACCACCAAGACAAGCACCACTGGGTCCAGACCGTGAAGACCAGTCACCTTTGTCAGATCAGACAATACACCCTGCAAGAAAAAGCCAGAACAGAATGTGACCACTGTAAGCATCTCATTCACTCAGCATTCCTTCTGAATGATTTCCACATGATTCCCAATGAACTGGTTGCAAACCCTTCATCTTTCCAACAGTGACACCAACAAAAAAAGTCTTGTTGTGAAATGGCCATTGACATTACCAGTTCTCTTCACCCCTGCAGAGGAAGTATTAAAGTTATAGCTAGCAATACTTTTAGTAAGTCAGTTTCTTGGGCTACATCCTCCTACATCTATTTGCCAAACAAAATTCCACAAGATGGTGCCAAAAGCTCAATTCTATCACAGAATGCTCATTTAGTTTCAAGAGAAAAGAATTAATGTTTTATATCAACTTGAAATGTATCAATCACAAGGGCACTCCAATATCATGGCCTAAAAAATATATGAAGAAAACTTTTCCAATCCTAATGTTTAAGTGGGAGAAAGGGAAAGACATTCTAAGGACAAAGCACCTTATGGATAACATTTGAAAGAGGGAAATTTTTTTTTTTGTTTTCAAGGGAAGCGTATTTTTCCTCACTTTTTAGTTACAACCCTTCTAGTGCCAAAGAGTCTTAGCAGTGCTCCTCTAAACTCTTTCAGAAATATAACAATATAGTCTAAACACTCCCCTTTCACCCCTGATATTCTTACACCAAAAGCAGTTATCTAGTCTCTATATTTGCAATTTGTCTCACATAGAAGCAATATTTTCTTTTTTGTTAACTATCCAGAAACCATTTATCTTCACAATAATCTTTGCTATGAAGCCTGTGTGCTTAGATTGCTAAATGTATGTGAATGCAATGCTAACACAGTGAAAACCTTCCTTTTACTTTCTAGATTAGGTTTTAAAAAGTTATTACACCAGCTACCAGTAAAATTCCATCAAATACATATAGCAGGATTCTCAGGGTATGTGCAAGAACAAGATGGAACATGCAGAACACAGAAGGGACAAACAACAAACTCTTCATGAGAATCATTTGCAGGGACACTCAGGCAGCCCTGCAGCAGTCTGAGTGTTCATCATACAACCATCAACAATACACAGAACATTTTAGTAAGGAAACAGTTTCACTTTTGAAACAAAGAAATAACAAAAAATTATCACATGCTCACTATTTTTTTTCTTTATAGAGTATATTCTCAAGCTAACCATGTTTAGTGTAAGATATACCAGAGACACTTGGAATAAGCTGCCCAATTCTTTCAATAAAATGCAAATTACCATCTTTCTACCAGGTATACATTCTAGAATAAAGTGCAAAGGATATACATCCCAAGATAAGACCTTGGAAAAATCTCTATCACTTCTTATTCAACTGCTTACTTAACAAAATAAAATCTACAGCATTAGAAGAAAATGTGTCCTTGGAGGAACTCCATCAGCTGAGGACATTGATTAACAGTACTGCAGTGTTCCACAAGACTCCATCTTCTTTCATAGCATGTTCCATAGCAGATTCTGTCAGAGCTGTTAATTTGGCAACAGCAAGACAGAGTTGTTTATATCAAAACTGGCTGATGGGATGAAAAGGAAAAAAAATAATAAACTGAAGGACTCAGAATTGCCTTGCAACAGCTGGTGACTAACATCTGAAACAGGCTATTACAGAATGGTCCTAGTTTGTTGATAATGTTTTACCAGTCACACACTTTCATTTTTAAAAACTGTTACACCTAACAGCTACCAAACTTGGTCTTGGAAATTCTAACAAAAACTGTTTTCCTGATAAGGGGGCTCAGTGTTATTCACCTTGTTTCTACCAACACTTTACAATAATTCACTCTTTGTGACTTTTGTAGTATCTGTTGTTTGACAGATACTGACTCTTAAAAGTTTATGCAAATTAACTTTTATGTGCCTGCTCAGAATAACCAAAGTCAGTTACAAAATCATAAGGATAGGCCAATTAGATACACCAGTTAGAGAGACTGGATCTTAATCAAACAACAGGAGTCACAGTGGTAACATTCTCCCATGTAGTATTTTCAACACTTTGCACAAATCAGCAGTCTCATTTCAATATATTACCAGCCAAAAGAGAAGCACAGGATTTATACCCAGAGAAAAAGACTGTTGAGGAATTAATCTGTACTCCTAATGCACAGAGAGACAGTCAGAGAAATTAAATGGACCTAATGCACATCATGTTGTGGTAAGAGACAGGATGTTCAGAACTCTTCCACCACCTGTAGTTTATCTTTGGGTTTACCACTGCAGCTCAGTTTCTGCAAAGTTTTTCTCTTACTTCCCATCTATTGTTCACCAAGATGCTTATCTGTGAAATACAGGCACAAGATTGGCTGAAGAATGGCACTGCTCTGAAAGACTGAAAACAGCACAGAACTGACATAAAAATAACCAACAGATTTCATGAACCATTCAGAAGTTCAAAAGCACAGGAAAGCCTTTGAAGCATTTATTTGCAAGATAGCACAGAGAACAGAAATAACTCAGGAAAAGTTCAAAAAAGAAAGACAAAGAGTCTGCCTTTGCCTTTTAGTCACTTCAGTGTACCATAAAGCCAATTTGGCAAATGGAGACATTAGTCTCCAGCCACACAGATCCCATGTGCTTGTATAAAAAACCAGAAGAATGAACATTACAGAACATAAATTCAAGGCAAGTTTAACATCCTCCTTAAAGGGTTGGAAACAAAATTCTTTTGTAACAGCAAAATAGGAGGCAAATGCATTTGTGTGTCAAGATAGGTTTTCATATAGCAATGACAGCACTAATCAAGTTATGAGAATGTGTGTATGCACATGGGGAGCAGAGAGGAGGAGAATAAATACCTCAGAATTAAAAGTCCCGTAAAACTCACTTCCAAAAAGCAGAGGACTCAGAACCCCTCTGCATGTAGACAGCTGCTGTATGGAACCACTTCAATTAAGGAAAAGTGAACATATGATAGTAATTGAAGTCTTACTTGTTTGTGGCACAACTGAACAGGGAGGGCACCTGCCTTCCACTCCTGCCTGAGATGCAGATCAGTGAATCTAGTAATGGTCACTTTCTCCTAGGGCTTGAATTAAACTCATTACTCATTAATGAGTAATTAATAAATAATAATAAACTCATAATAAATAATTAATAAACTCATTAAACTCGAACTTTTACAGCCATTCATTGCCATACCTGTATCATTCTGTTCTCTTGTTACAGGAGAACTGAGCAGATGTGTGTAACTTCCTTCAGCTGAGGAAGTTTCTTAGCTTTTGCTAAAAATAAGAGTTATTCAGCTACATCATGTTCCCCAGTGTTGTTCCTCTGCATGGAAACAATCACTTAAGCACTCCTTGGGGAATACAGTGGACAAAAGATGGCCAACAGATAGGGAGCATCCTTCTCAAGTATTTCAAAGATACACATTTCGATTTAGTGGTGCTTTTTAACATATAAGGACAGCTCATACCCCTCACAAATATTTGTTTGTAATAAAAGAAGGTGAGTGGAGAAATACAGATTTTAGAAAACATGCTTTTGAAAGAGAACCTGTTCATAAAGGCTAAATTCTGCCCAGCATCCTGCTCTTACAAGTTCATAAAAAAGCTCTGAATATCAAGGGTCGCAGCTTAAATCCTGATCAGGGACAAGAAGCAAATTCCAACTAAACTCAGTTTAGATTATTTGAACGTGCTCCTGAGTTCAGATGCTACATTTAACTTCTGCTGCTTCCTGAGGAAGTAGTTTCACAGGGGCAGGAGGAGGCAGCCACTGAAATAAGACCAGTCATCTCTTATCCTTACCTTTTCACTCCATGCCCACAGACCAGCTGCAAGGAAGGCCACTCCAGCTAGCTGAAATGAAAAACAAAAATTAATGTAATAATCAATGACATTATCAAAAAACTTAGCTACTAGCACTATTGCTCAAATAAAACAAATACTGCCTCTAATTTGAGACAACTGTAATGGGATCTTACTCCCTATGAGTCCATCTCTTATAAAATCATTTGAAGGGCATTTATTCCACAACATTTATACATTTTATGAATTACTTTTTTAAAAGTATTTTAATTTGATTCTTCATAATTACTGGGGAAGCACATTACTCAAGAAGAAGAGACACTTAACAGACAGCCCCACAGAGCAGCATGCAAATGGGAGTAACCCTTATCCCAAGGACCTGCTATAAAGTGTCTGCCTGCCCACTAATGAAGATGTCAGAATATTTATTGCATTTTGAGGTTGTTCCCTATTTAGTCACTTAATAGTCAGCAATATTATGGCTATGAGAGTAGCCATGCCTGCTCCTTGTGACTTCAGTGCCAAGGCTCCCTATATTAGCCTCTCCTCTGATCAGATACAGTTTGTCTTCTGAACCCTTACTTTGTTTAAGCCCATGTGAATCAAGCTGCATTCATGATCCATTTGCTTACCTTTCATAAGCACCAAATCTAACAATAAACCCTCCACTAATTCATATGCTTGCATAATAAATACTGCTGACTTACAGTCATTCAAAAGAAGCAAGAGTTACTTGTCCTAATATTTTACTCCCTTTCTTCAATGCTCAGGCAAATTGTTTTTAATATCCAATTTCAATAATCAAATGATTATTGAAAATAATATTGAATATTTCAATATTATTGAAAATAATATTGAAATCAAATAATAAAATGACCTCTTATAATTTTCCTGTCTATGCAGGAATTATTATATGCCACAATCTGGATTAAGCAACCAAAACCACCACTGACACATGGAGCTAGAACTGAACAAAGCAGTACTAAATTAATTGCCAGAAGCAATAGCACAATGAGTACTCATCTTGGACTCTGAATCAGCTAAGAACATCTAAAGTGATCATTTGGATCAAAATATAACTTGAAAAATACTATTAAAAACCACATCTAAAAACCACATCAATATAAACAGAATATTGACCCAGATCAACCCTAGATCTTAACCCAGTGATCTTCAGATCAAAAAAAAAGCAGGGGAAATAGTCAGTAATCAAACTTGTATGTCATTAAGTTGCACAGTGCATGTAATTGATGCATCCTTCATCCTTTTCACTCCAAATGCTCCAGGAATGCAGGGAGACAGATGAAGACAGCTGGTATAATTTGCAGTAATCAAGGTAAATTATACAGACAGCTGGATCTTTGGAAATTTTTTTCTACAGAAAACAAGGTGCAAAAAAATTACTGGGAAGAACATATTCCACTCTCTGTATACAATTTAAGGGTGCTACAATACTAATATTGTGCTATTGAATTTATAAATAGGGTGACCTCTTCAGACTGTCTGCCTTCTTATAATTACCTTCTTAATTAAATTTTAACCATTTTTTATTAAGTAGATTTTGCACTAGCATGCATTATTTTCACCTTTGAACATGAACTTTGCTCTCGTGTTTTTATAAACCATGCAGTTTCAAGAAAATATACTACTTTTGCAAATTCATTTCCATAAGCATATGTGAAAACTAGCTACAAGTAAAATAGTTTATCAGAAGAAAAATAAACTTAGTCTCATTAAAACAATGTGGATAAATCTAAAAGTTAATTCAGCTACGACAAACAACTCAAAAATTTCACTAGAAGCAACCAAACCAGATAGATTAAAAAATTCTTTTGCAAAAATCCAGTAAAGTATGAGGTACTTGCAGAAGAAACCGTCAGCATTGACAGGTGCAATGACCAAAACAAGCAATCTGAAAAAACGTAAAATAGTACTGAAATGAAAAATGAAAATAAATCCTTTTGTTTCAAAGACTATGCCTAAGATACTTTAAAGTATCTCACTGAAAACCATTGTAAAAGCAGACCATGCAGATCAAACTAGCTCAGGAGTTGGTGTGATTGAGCATGCCCAGAGTTCTACAGAGCATCAGCCCCAGGAAAATCCCCTCTGTAACACACCTGCACAGAGGCACCCAAGGGATGGCTGCAGGGCAGGCAGGGAACTGATCCTGCCTAAACTAAAGGCCAGGTTTTAATCTCCTCCAGCTCACTGAGATAAATGGCTGAGTGAATGGGACAACAGGCAGCCGAGAAGAAGCAAGGAAAACCAAAACTGTTCCCAGGGTGAGAGTAGGCTAGTCAGCTATTTCAAAAAGCACAGCATTTTGCAATCTGCCTTTCACCAGAATCTGAACAACATGTAAACAAGAACAAACTGGATTTCCCAATTCACTGCCACACTGCAGAGCCCTTCAAGACATTCACTCCATTAAAGATTTGATGGAAACATACACAAAGCAGCTCAATTGTGCCCAGAAACTGAAACACTATTTACCAGCATTCGCTTATTTCCTGCTTTAGAACTGATAAATCCACTTTTTAAACATATTGTATCAAACTGTAGGCACTGCTCAGATGTACAATACTGATGCCAACTCAGTGACACTGTGCCCAAATCATCACTTTTAAGCATCACCCATGTATCCACTCCCAGTCACACTTTGAATTCCTATGATTCCTACGACTGTGCTGCCAGAATCACACTACCAACTGAGCAAACAAGGCTAATTTGTTTCTCAGATGCAGGCATCTCTTGCAACACACAGTGATTGTGGGTCAGTCTGTCCCTAGGTCTGATGAGCAGCAATAGGAATTGCAGGCAGTTTTTGTGTATTCCCACAGAGAATCCATTTCCCACTCCCTGGATAATCCTATTTTACACTGCAGCTCCACCCATGCTAGAGCAATCAGCAGCCTGCAGCCCTTCCTTCCTATCCTTTACTCTTCAGAGACTCTTCCTCTCAGGGCCAGGAAACCACCTGCTGCTGCATTCTCTCCTCTTCCTGGCACAGCATTGCTGTTACAGAAGTTCCTGGAAAACAACATACGTTGGAAAAGCCAAGAAAACCTTATGCTAACCTGGGTCTTATTTTTCAAAGAGACAAACTCAGAATTCTTTTCTAGACCGGAAGAGAATTTTTGACCTCACTCACCACGTGCAGGGCAAAATGCCAAATCTCCTATAGGATGAGTGACAAGTTCTGGTTTTGCCTCCAGTAACACTTAAGAGTCACACACAGCTACTGACCTTTAGAAGATAAACCCAGGTGATGGGAGCTAAAAGCTATTTTACCCTCCCCTCTCAATTCATGCGAGAGACAGTGAGCTCATACACAACATATAAAGCTTTGGCAGAGCACACATGCAATCCTTCACTTCACTGAACCAGCCACGGCCCCACGAGGTGCCAATCTACCCCAAAAACACCCTTTCCACTGGAGGCAAAGCAGCAAGCACCAGAGCTCTCACAGAACAGCTCACTCAACTGCAGAACGATGCAGAACAGAAAGGTGCCAAAACCAAGCTCCTCATTTGGCATTGTTGCAGTCTTTAAACTGCACCATGACAAATGAAGTGATTTGACAAAAAACCCCAAAAAACAAAAAGCTTTCAAGCACAAAAAGGTCCAGCCTTCTTATCTCGCTCTCTGCAGGGCTATCTTAATGGCTGCAGCACTGCCTTATCACCACTCATTAACAAGAGTGTACTTGGACAGGCCAAGTCTTGCGAGCATGCCTAAAAAGCAAGATAGAAACAAAGTAATCACACATGAAAATCAGGCCTAGGCAGAGCCTTCCTCTGGCCTCCATTCCCTTTTTTAAAAGAATAGAGAAGTGGTATTACAAGCCAGCAATGCACAACTAAAAGCCAGTACTTTCTATTCCCAAGTCACTCACCTGAAAAAAAGAGACTTCCAAAGAATAAAGATTTACAGATTTCTAAAGGATGCCTTTGTTAGTGATGAAAGGATGCCTATGTGAACTGCATCTGAAGCACGACACAAATTGCAGTAACCACACCCAGTGAAAAGTCTAAAACTTCTGGGAATTACTACATCAGCACATGCTTTAAAGTTTATACAGTCAATGATATCTTTAGAGCTACAATGGGAAAGTCAACATTTACCTTTGATAAGGATGACAAAAGAACAAATGCAAATATTTTCCTGCAACTATTTACTATTACCTGGTTTGTGCATCCACTCAGGAGAGCTCTAACAGCTTACATGGGCAAAAGGCCCTCTGACATTTGGCTAAATCCATTCCTCATCCACCTCTAGAGCAGCCAGGCTCACTAACAAACACTCACAAACAAGTTCCCAGAAGCACCTGTCCTGCCACCCAAGGAAAGTGAATCAAAACTAACATTCCCTCTTTAAATGCCACTTGTGGATTATGGTTACATTTCCCCTTCTGGTTTTGTAGTCCTTCAGTTTTTCTAAGGCACACAGAAAATTCACTCTGTTTCACAAATGGTGAATTTGCAGTCATTCCAGACAGCAAGATTTCACAGGCTCCAGAATCTTTGTGTCAGCTAAATGATTCATGGATTGCCTATAGGGGTGTCTACCTTCAACATTTACATAGCTTGTTCTACAACTAAAGGTGCCAAAAATCTTATCCAAAGAGCTGTAGCTGCACATCATTTACTAGGTCAGCCTGATAACATCAACAGAAGCATCAGACCCTTTTGTGGAGGAAGCTACCAGGACTACAAGTACCTGTTCAGAAAGCTAATTCCTCCAGCCAACAGATCAGCTGGAACACACAGGTTGTATTATCAATTCTCCTCAATGTTGTGGCATCTCTTTAGAAGTTTTTCTTTAAAGAACAGAAAAATCTTTAGATCTTCATCATTCATCTCAAGAGAATACAGTTTTTAAATAGTGAAAAAATGTAGTGACTGTGGAAGAGAAAAAGATACAAAATTTATTCTTGTGAAAAAACAGAGGCAGAAAAACAGGGGAGGAAGACTGTCAAGAATTTTTCTTACAGAGAAGACAAAAAATTTCAGTTTAAAAGATTGTCAGAAACAGTCACTCATAGACCCCACTTCATGAGACACTCACTAGAAAAAAGTAGAGGTCTAGAGGAATCCTAATATGTGCATGAACAAGAGTGTTGATTCTCACATATCCCACCATGAACTTCTGAAGAGCATCCACACAGTTATGAAGTGATTTCTCTGAAAACCAGAACAGTGTGACAAGCATCACTCCTCACTGTACCACACTCCACCACGGGTACATGGGAATTGCACAACACAGGAGAAAAGGAACTGCAGAGCTGGTGGCTTGTAAACACAATTTCTGACCTGTTGAAAGCATCCTCAATTGAAAATCCGAAAATATCATGCCTAATGAACACTTGTACTATGCAATACTGTAGCAAATCAACCCTTAATGGAACAAAAGTTTCTGCAAATCTTTTCTGCCCAGGTATCCACAGGAGGGTAACTCCCCTGGGGTTTAATGTTACAGTATCATGCTGGAGCATTGCACTAGTAAACAAAAGGTGGCGACAGTACCAAGAAGTTCTGTGGTTTTCAGCAACTTTACTGCTAGCACTGGACAAGTCACTCTATCTGCACTTTTCCAGGACTACTCATGCCTTTCCATGACTGCAGTTCTAGGACTTCAGGTGCAAACTTGTGTTAACCTGAATTTGACCTGAAAGTTCTCCAAAAGGAACTACTGAGTTTGTCTGAATTGCTTCCTCATCTTCCCCTCACAGGCATCTTAACTCTTTCTGGTGCAACATTATGCGCTAACCTTTAAAGGCCTTTCTTTTCCAAGGCACGTGCTTCATTAACATCTAAATCCACTCATGTATTGTTGTACCTTCTCACACTCACAATTCTACACATTATAGGCAGGTTAGTCCATAGCTCAGTATTTCAAGACTGTATCAGACAATTCAGCAGCCCACAGAGCATGACATGTGCTGCCAGCTGTTGACACATCCCTGAGGAAGCTCCTTTCTTCTCTTCTGCATAGTGTATTTACAGCTACACCACCCAACAATGATCAAAGATGATCTGAAAGGAAACATTATAAGAGGATTCTTTTAACAGGGAAGCAACTTAACGTGGATAATATGGACACTGAGTCCTCACACTTTCAATAATAATTTATTTCTCATAAGGGATAAGCTTCTTCAATTACACAACACCTGGGGCATACTATACATCAGTTTCCTGCTTTCACACAACTATTTCAGCTTGTTCTCTTGACCAGAGTAATGAAGTTAATAAAACTTAGCTATGCCTCAGCTATTTCAGCCTCTACATTCTGTACTCACCCAAAAGACAATGTTGTAGCTGAAGAGCAAGTATTTGTACCAACAGCTGACTTCTGCATTAGAATATCGGTAATAGTGCATCTTCTATGGCACAGCCTCTGCACAAAAGAAAAGTAATGACAGGATTAGGAAAAGATTTCATGAATAAATGTTTCTTCCCCAGTCTCTCTTGCTCTGCTGAGAAAGATAGTACAGTAATCTGTACCATATGCCATCAAAAGGCATTTTCAAAGTCAGCTCACACTTCCACTGACCCTACACTTCCTTTCAGTATCTGTTGCTTAATAATCTTATCTTTAAGCACCCTAATGTTATAACAGGGCAGGCACACCCTCAAAGGAAACTCACTATACAGTTAGCCTAGGAAGATCAACATAAGCAAGGTGACACTCATCTGCCTTTTCACGCCTTCAAAACCATTTTACTTCTGCAAATGGCTGCTTGGACTCATCTACAAACCCTGAGTATAGCACATCCAGCAATCCAGCTAGCAGGATATCCAAAGTGGTTACCTGGAATCTCACAGACTCTCTGGACTGCTAAATACAAAAGGTAATTGTACCCAGCTCTTCCACATTTGCGTGTTCCTTTACCAGATCATCTCCTGTAAGAGGTTTTATTGTCAAGAACCAAAGTCCCACCATTCAAACCCTCAGCTCTGTGGAGTTTGGTTTGCTTCCTTACACACACTAGAGAGATAAGGTTCAAGCACAACTCTTGCTCAAGTATTTCAGACAACTACAGCTGTTCAGAGACTCATAACTAAACCACCTCTGCAGAAATGCCATGCATAAGAAAAACAGCACAAGCTGTGAATTCAGAGCAGGAGTAAGCACTTGCGCAGCCCTCGCATTCTGGACAGCTGAGTGCTGCCTAAGACAGATGAGCAACATTTCAATCCTCCACTTCCTTGAGGTAAATGTCAGTAGAAGGTTTGCAAAGGCAAGGAAAATGAATGCAGAATTTTCAAACACCTCCTAACTAAAAAAACATACTGTGCCATGCCGGTCATTCACAGACAGTGTGCAAAAACCAAGCCTATCCAGTAAAGTCTGAAACCCAGAACATGGAATGGACAAGTGAACTGCACCACGTTCACAGCTATAAGAAGGTAAACTAGGTTTTTTGGGGTTGTTTGGTTTTGGAGTTTCCTTTCCTAGAAAGGAATCTGCACCTCAGTATAAAACACTCCCACTTACAAAAGAAACAGAAGTTGGCTTTGAGAATCCCATCCAGTACAGACTAGAGTGTGAATTCATATTTCAGCTTGCTATTTCTAGAGTTCAGATGTTGATTTCCATATAACTTGAACTAAACACTGAAAACAGGTTTTCTTCCTTCACCTTATAACTTCTAATGTGCACAGTCCATTTATAGCAAAAAACATTTAACTTTCATTAAAGCAAAGGAAATTGCCCTTTATGGCAGTATGGGCAGTGACTGAAAAGGACCTTCCTCATTTGGCCAGCTGTACCACATAAAATGAGTTTTGTAATTTAGTTACTGACCTTTGCAACCCATCCAATGTTACAGACAAAATTTAGGAACCTTTACAACTGTTATGAATCATAGCAAAGAACTCTTGCTTAAGCACCATCCCCTTGCTTATCTAAGCCCACAACTGTGATTATAAGAAAAGGAACAAAGACTGGTTTTCTCAACTTAATTTCAGTTTCTAGCTCCAAATAGCAATTTGTATGTCAACAATCAATATGCACACACTTGTCCAAGGCAGTCAGTCTGATGTGCCTGGGCAAGAGAGGAAAGGGAGGGTACAAGAACAGATTCCCACTAATCTGAGCAGGGTGCAAGGCTCATTGGCATGAGTGCAATCCCATTTTACAGCAGTACACTGGCAAATACATTCTCCAGATGCTGACACACTGAGGCCTCGATCACTGCTGTGCCGCCTTTTCCCTCTGAAAATCAGGAGCCTGGTAAGAGACAGGAGCAGCAACTGCAAAATGCACATAAGGGGCATTGCTTTTGGTGCTGCTACATCTACAAAAGAGAAGGCAGCAGGTTGCATTTAGCTAGCACATCATTAAATTTCACAAAAATGAGGTTCTGCTAGACAAAGAGGCTTAAAATATAACCTGAGGCAAAAAGGCAAGCACATCACTTTACAACCTAAAGTACACACATCTGAAGACTTACTTTTTGTTAGGTTACCCTCCCTGGCACTGGTCTTATATGCAACTGTTCAGCCCCAGCTTCACTGAAACTAGTCACAGCAATAAGAGGATTAAAAGTATCCTTATTGACAAGCACTACTCCCACCCACCTCAATGTTTCGACCACCAGCTTGCAAGACATTTCTCCATGCTTCAAACAACTGCTAAAATGCCCCAGTCAATACCAACCACAGTATTTTAGCAGAATGAAAAAGCAAAACACTTTTTCAACATACACATTTCTAAATGCTCAGAAATGATGGGGGGTGTATTACCAGCACAAGCAAGAAGCTGTCCTGTAACAGCACACAGCTCCTCAGACAGATATTAGCTTCCAAACCACCTGCCTATCTTAAGAGCTGATTTGGCCTGCTCTGTGCTTACCTCCATCAGAACTCTTTTGGTGGTTCTTGACAGACCACTGAACACAGTATGGGTGCTATGGGAGTAGCATAACAAACCTGAAGTGCAGGTATGTGATTTTTTTTCCACTAACACTACAAACGAATGAAGCAGTCCACTCAAGACTACACAGCCACCCTCCCCGTGTTTATACTAAAAGCAATCGTGTTTCCTAACACAGAAGGCATCTGTAACCAGTCCAGAAATCTGCTTGTCAGTAATTCACTTTGTTCACAGCACAGGCTGCATAGCTATGGTTAGGCAATACTAAAAACACTTGGAAGATTAAAGCAGTATGTGGGCAGCACACACTAATAACGTTCTCTACTGCGTTTCAGACAAAGCAAGTCACATTGAGTCAGCTGACAGTTATCACCCACTCACAGCAACAGGAATTTCTAAAAATCAAATACAGAGCCCTGCTGCTTTGGTAGAATATAATTTTGTCTTGGTGTTTACAGCTTTAGTGAAAGGGGGAAAAATATAGTCATTCATCAAGAGGACACTGCCATTCCCAAAGCCTTTCAACACCCACAATTCCACTCTTACCTTCTAAATGCTACAGCAGTGATACTCCTAATCTGTGCTCCTAACTCTCAGAAAAAAGGTTGTGATCTGTTAACTAATCTAATGTAGATATGCAGAGAAATCCTCATGGATAAGACTAAGTCTAGAACAACTGCAACAAAGTAATTTTCTACATTTAGGTCGAAAAATTATTTTAATCCTCCAGAGATGGTTACTTTACAAAACAAACCTAAGTGACATTAAAATTGCAAGTTCAGCCAATACTGCCACCATATAGAGTCCTGATCCCCTTCCCTGCCCCTCCTAAAACCCACAACCATTAATCAACCTATTCAGTGGAGCAAACAGCAACGCAGCAAACCACCAGCAAATCTTCAGCTCAATCCTGTAATCTTGTACCACACACCAAGAAGTAAACAGGTTTAAGCCTTCAATCCACCTCGCCAGAGCATGTACAAATGCCAGCGTGGGGGCAGGCAGGAGGTGGCAGAACAAGGAAAGGAAAGCAAAAGCTTTCCCATGAGTGTGCCCATGGAAACACAGCACCCCTCCAGTGCCAGCCTGTACCCGCAGCACACCTGAATCCAACACACTGAAAGATAAGCGGAACGGGGCACAACTGAGGCAAGAGGAAAAAAAAAAAAAGTCATTTGCCAAGCTGTTGGCTTCTCCACCGCTGTTCATCAATGAAACGCATCTGTATGAAGCTGGTGAAGCAAATGGATGTAGAATAATTTGCGGAGGAGCAAGAATTTTTAAAAACAGCAAGAGATGTACTTTGGTCTATTTTGATATTACTCAATTCCACTCCATCAAGACCAAATATATACCTAAAAGTATCAGTTCATTCAAGATAAGGTGCCATTGAAAACAACTGCCATTCTTTGAAGGTGCTCAGTCATTAGAGGTTTTTGTGAAGGTAAAAGGCAGCCTAATCCCTGACAGGAAAAATTCAGAGATATTCTTAGGGCCTTCTAAAAATGGAACAACTAAGAGGCACCTATAGATTGCTCTTTCCACATCCTAGAGAGAAGCTGACCACCAAAGGGGGTCCTAATGTTCAGAACAGTATCTGGGTGCCAGCCATCAAATATTCACCTGAGGGGGCTGAGCTGGTACAGCCAAAAAGCAAGATAAACTGACAGGATGTGATGCTCTCACAGGTTAATCTGCTCCTGGAAACAGACAGTCCTGCTGATGACTCAGGAGCTCCCAGCATGTGTCATTTTGAAATTTTGTCTCCAAGAAACTCAGACTAGGGCCTCAAAAAGAACAGACAAGCTTCTCTTAAGGAACACAAGTATAGTTTATTTAGTTCTGCTGCAGTTCAAATGAGCAGAGGAATATTTGCTCATTCTCAAAAGAAACCTGAGGATTAATCAACAAAAAGGCTATTTTTTTAACCTGAAAGACTCATGATGAAAGGCAAATATCATTAATAGGCTATCCCTGTTTCACCAGAAAAATAATGGAAGTAACAAATCTCAGAACTCCATGGAAAAAGCCAGACAGAATTCTTATGACATCATCTTTTGGGACCCTTATTTTGTACTCTGCTGAAGACTCAAAGATCTCAAAGAATATTTCAAGCAGAAGTTGCTCCACTGTAAGCACTAAAAAACAATCCCTCAGTGAAGAAAATTCCCAACCTATTGGGAAGGGTTTCATATTTCAGTGACCAGGGTTTAGTCTATTACTGCATCACGAGCTACAACTTAGGAAAACTTGTCAGAAACACACCAGTGTTTCCAAACCCCAAACAAGGAAGCAGTAATTCAAAAGAGCTCCACTCCAGGTTTCTCTACCTCACAATCCTTAGGCTGCACTTTTGGCCAAGCCACTACTTCTGTGTGGTTGAGTTGTATCCAAAACACCATGTAAGTGCTCAGAACTCAGAAAAAGTGGACACTACACATTTTTGGGAATAAGCTACATGGTCATCAAGAGCCTCTTCTGAACTCCCCACATGACTAACATCACCAATCCTTTGGCAC